ATTTTTAATCTATGCAATCTTGATTACGTCTACGTGTGACTTTACTAGCTTTCACCCGCGATTTCGTTCGCGTGGAATTAAAAAACAATTGCAAATAGCCTATGTGTTTTTCCAAAGTATCCTCTACGTTTATGTCAAATTTCATTGAGATCCGATCAGCAGTTTAGGCTACAAACTCTAACAAACATCAATCAAAACTTTCAAATTTATATTAGTAAGATTTGTATTTTAGATCTTAGAGTATGTAGGCTTAAACGTGTATTTTTTTTAATCCAAGCTAAAGTACGTGTAAAGTGTTAATATAGAAATAAATAAAAGATACATGGGCCATTTGTTGGAATTATTCATAAGCTTGTTGACATAATCTGTACGGCGCGTAACTCCGTTCCACTCGGCGGATAAATTTATCTAATGATTGATATCTTGCGCACTGGATGTGTAAATTGTACCAATAAGTACACTTCATTTCAAATACCATGTCATATTTGTATGTTAGGACATTCAAAGCGTATAATTACAGAAATAAATTATAGGTTTATATGAGTTACGTCGAACTTTTTATCAATTATATTGCGAAAGGGAATGACAAAGAATATTTGGGCATAAGACCTCGGAATAAATAAAAACATATCAATAACACTGGATCACTTCAGCAATTTGTTGTTATGGTTTTTCTCCGGTTCCAACAAATTCTTTGCATATAAAATTCAAACAAGAAGATATTTAAATCTACAATTTCATTAAACATATAAAAACAGTGGAATGTCCGGGCAATTGCGGACGCATGGCGACCGAAACAGCCACATAATTAAGCCATAAAAAGCAGTAGTCGACGCCATCTCAATCCCAAGCGAGCGTTTAACATTTTCCAACGCGCTGACTAGTTTTTGCGACGTGCGTCCGTCTGTCCACAACTATAACTGTCAGTTATCCCACACGTATAATTTGCGAAACCTGTTGCAGTTACAACTCGATTTGGTGGCTATTTAAACGTTTTATGGGGTAATGTAGATATTGACGCCTGTGCTAAGTGGTTACTTCACACATCTTATTTTTAATGTTGATATTTAAATTGTCATTCTCATAAATGGGAAACTATAACTATAACTATGTATCTTGTAATATTTAAAAGTAAATAAATCATCAACTTCCTCCTTATCCTACTCCCGTAGTGGCCTCACAAGTTTTTATCCTCCACATAACTCTGTACGTCATCTCAGTCATCACTCCCTATTTGATCATGTCACCTTTAACGCAATCCATCCATCTCTTTCTAGGTCTACCTCTACCGGTGTACCCTTCCATACCCATAACTAACGTTCTCCTTGTAACATGCGATTCATCACTAAACCCATGCGATTTTAAAAGGAAATAAATATTGGACACTAAATTCCTAAACTCCATTTTATAATACGGGAATTATCCTGAACGATAAGAAATATAAAATACCGACTTGAGTGAACAATTCTAGCTTGAATTTGTAGATAGTCCGTTTATATTCATATACTGCATTGGTAAATAGGTACTTGCAATAATGAACTTTAATTACCTAACTGTATAGTCTGATTTAATATAGGCCAATGTGTAGACTACCCACACGTGACTTGCTGGATATTAGGGTATTGTGCTCTAATTCCGAGGCCAGTAATTAATGAGCGGCCAGTTCAGCCATCTTGTCGTCATTAGTCTTATTCAGCTGAAATTAATGATAACTATAAAACCATAAGCAAATAAGGCATTGAGTTACAAATGGAACACTTTTTGTAATTTTCGCTACTAGTATACAGCTTTTTTTACAAGGTAAATAACAATTTACATTGTCGTTCATTAAAATGTATATCTTATTTTTACACATAACAGTATTTTTTTTTAATAAATATTAACATATTGTTTTAAACATTAAGTCAATATGTTGTTCAGTAAATTGTGTTGTATTTTTCGTGTTTTCATAAATTTTTATTCCATGACCGCGTAAGAACGGCATGTATTGCGCAATGGGCCTAGTTAATGTTTTAGTAATTTCCTTAAGGGCCACGGATCACGCGAATTCAAGGTCCAGAGCCCTTTGTGTGGCGACACGAATGACCGCAGAACGTTTGCGAACATTAACTATAACTTTTATGTTCAGAATTTAATGAATTACTGACCCTTATGAAATATGCGGAAATAGAAATAAATTAAAAAATTTCTATAAAGTTGAAAATTAGACTATTGCACGACAGTTTAGTCTTGCTTTGATTTCTATGAGCTTGTATGCGATTTTTAGTTGTGCAACTAAACAGTTGAATTGGCTGCGAAACAATCGATGATCGCACAGCAGTCGTGCTATAGTTTAGTCTCAGGTCTGCTCTCGTTCTCTCGCTCTTAGTGCTATTATTCGACCATACTCATCCCTGTTCGATGGTCATAAATAAGTCTTTCTTGTCGTAGAGGACGTTAGAGTTGGTTAAACAATGTGACATGTTACGTCACTGTTAGCGAATACATTAACTTGGTCACCTTTCCCCGTAGCATCTTCCTACGTATAACCACAACATTCACCTTTGATTAGTTCACATGAGTGCGCTATGAATGATTTATGAATATCGAATACCTTATAAGAACTATAAAACGGGACTCCCTTATCATAATCAGCACATTTCTCAACTGTATCTCATACTAGTTACATCTAACTCAGACATAATGAAAAGTGTACTACTGTTGGTGGTTTTGTCTGTCTTATGCACGGTTTATGTTGTCCGGAGTCAAGACGACTTCGGCCAGATGTACTGCGGGCGCCGGCTGGCGTCGGCACTGGCGTTGCTATGCGAGGGGATGCCGCAGACGGTGCTGGTGAAGAGAACGGGGGCGGAGTTCTCGCAGCAGGAGACGTGGCCGTGGCCGTGGCTGTCAGCGCAACGCGCGCGCTCCCTGCAAAGGAACAAGCGGCAGACGGTGGTCGCCGAGTGCTGCGATAAGCCGTGCACCATCGACGAACTAACCAACTACTGCTGATAAATAATTAAAGAAAATGCTCTAAGAAAATAATAATAAATAAAATAGAACATCTCAAATAAGACGTATGCAAATGTTTAAAACAAGAGAGTTTAATGTCTGATTTAATTTAAAAAATGTAAATAAAAAGTATTGTAAAGAATAAATATATTGAACATAAATAAGCTATATGTATTATTCGTAACCGTTACTATAGTCAAATATGTTATTACTCGCTTTCGCCCGCAACTTCGTCTGTGTGGAATTGAAAAAACAAAAGTGAATATGTGAATAAGCCTATGTCTTCTCCAGACTATCCTCTACATCTATGCCAAATTTCATCGAAATCCATTCAGCTGTTTAGGCTACAAACTCTAACAAACATCCATTCATCCATCCCTCATGGATCCCTTGGTATGATTACATAGAAATTGCTATCAGGTTCTCTCAGCGTGTCGTGTAGAGAATTGCAGCATATAGCATTAGCCAATTATCTTGACGGCGAATTTAAAACGACTGGGTACTCTTACTAGAAGAATAACTAACTAGCCAGAGAATAGGAGAACCTTACAAAACGGCATGCAAAGCTAAAGTATATATTTCTCTATTAAACCATGTACTTTCATACGGCTAAATTCTGATCGTAGAGGTATAAAATGAGGACGTCACATAACATCTGTCGGGCTTTCGAGGTTTAGATGTGTTTTTGTTTAATAAATCCAAAGTAACAATGAAACAAAAGCCGGTGTTTGAGCAGAATTTCGCTAACGGCGGATCGTTACACGAAGCAATGTTTGTCTGGCCTTCTGAATATTTAAGCTCCGGCCCGGGGGGAGGGAGAGGTTGCGGGGGGCAGCTTTTGTGTACCACTGAAGGTGTGTTTTGAGCCCGTTGATAAAGCTCGTTTGAATGTACCTTTAGTTTACTTGTCAAAGGATTTGTAGTTGTAAGAAGTTACGGCAACGAATGCAGTTCCTCTGGTATTGCGATTACCTTGGTGTACCGGCTGCTTTATTTGAGGACATAAATACGGTTTTTTTTAATAAAAATAATAAACAATGTAATTTTTTTCTTTGTTATTAGAATTGGATGAAAAAAAATTTTATATTAATTCTTACTTGCGACTTTGTCCACATGAAATTAAAAAAAAAAACGTAGCTTATGTATGGTAACGGCTCTTGGTGTAAGAATATTTGAAATTGGCCCAGTAATTTTTGATTCCCTTCAATACATACAAAAATACATTTTTTCCTTATATTATTAGTATAGATTATACCCTGAAGCACATATACTTCGAAAATTGCTGAAATATAATCCTGAATTTCCGTTTGCATTGAAAACTAAAATGAAAGTCAGTGTGCGAGGCACTAAGTGAATTCATAAACGACTATTTCGACGGATCTGTCGACGTTATTGGCAAAGCTGTCAGTTGGCTACGCCGGAAGCATGTTTCACTTTCCAACCTAACAGTTCGGAATTTACACGTTAATTCTCGTACGATTTATTATCTTATTTACTAAAAAAATATTAACGTAATTATTAGGAATAATTTATTTAACGTTTGTGTTTATGAATGGGGTTCAATTGATGGTTGAAGGAGATGACCATCGACCTTTATATAATATGATTTGTCAGAGATTTTAGAGAATTTATCAGCCTCGACATTCTATAATATTTCGATATCATCATTGTCAGTTGTGAATTAATGCTTAGCCCTTAATTCGGTGGAGTTTTTTGTTGGAGAAAAATATTATATGTTACCAACACTCTAAAATTAAAATCTTACGTATTTTTCTTTAAACTATAATAGTTCAGTAGTTTTTTTTAAATTATTTGTTCGGACACTATCGAATTCAAGGTCAAAGGTACATTTCTTTTTGTTGTGACATTCTGTATGAAATATTTTAAAATATCCAGTTTGATATTTGGTAAATGACCAGACAATACATAAAGAAATTCAAATATTCTAGAATTCATTTTATTTTATAACTAATCAAATCAAATAGTTTTAAAATACACACATAACACTCTAATTACATTTAACCGGAGACATTAACAATACGACATCAGTTCATCAATCGCACAAGGTTTATCGCAGCATTCAGCTACCACTTGCCGCTTCCTCCTGCCAAGACTGTTGGACCATTGTGACGTCACGATCGGCCAATTAAAGGCTTCCTTGTAGTGCCTCTTGACTGGACTCTCATCGCAAAGGTAGGCCAGGGTCGTTGCCAGTCTTCTACCGCAGTATACTTGCTCTTGTCCCCACTGGCAATATACTGTTGCCAAGATTGTGAAAATCAAGAAGAAGATTGAGTGAGACATGATTGGATGAAGCTTATTGTTGGAATGTGTTGAATGTAGTGTTACTCCAGTTTTTATACCGATGTGTTGGTTGTTCTTTGTGACATTTGTTTGTTTAGTGATGTGTATAATCCGCATAGGTGTAACTATTTGGTCCAGCGTAGGTTGTGTGACGTAAAATTAACTACCTCGCCTTTAAAATTTGAGGAGATTCTTTTTGAGAGCAAACTCTTCTACTCGTACTACGGCCGTGCTATCTCCTTCACAGTATCCTGCCTTCAATTTTGTGTATTGCATGTAACGATTTACAAGTGCCTTTTGTGAATTCCACAAACGTATTTAAATATACAAGTAATAACAATCATTCATATCGTAGGAAGATCGAGTCACCTGTACGATGTTCAGTTGACAGCAGCTCCTACGCTTCATCACAAAATTCAAATTACATTATTTCCGGATAAGGAATTAGATACATGTGTGGGATTATTTGCGTCTTAAACTACGTTGGTATAAAAACTGGACTCATTTTCGTTATTATCACACTTGATCTTTGTCTTTCCTTTAAAACACATTATTTTATCCAGAACTCCAATCAAACCATGAGGGGTCTAGTGTTGTTTGCTGCTTTGTCTACCTTTGGTGTACTGTACCTGGCTTCGTGTCAAGATAACTTTGGCCAGATATACTGCGGGCGGCGGCTAGCATCAGCTCTGGCGCTGGTATGCGAGGAGGCGCCGCAGACAGTGCTAGTAAAGAGGGCAAGGACGGGACCCATGCTGCCGGCGTCGTGGCCCTGGTTGCCAGCGCAACGCGCGCGCTCTCTCCGCAGGAACAAGCGACAGGTGGTTGCTGAGTGCTGCGACAAGCCGTGCACTTTGGATGAACTAATGTCCTACTGCTGAACTTCATCATTGTTATTAAGATTCTATGACTGATTAGGCTTAAATCGATTTGTGAAATGTGATAATTGAAAATAAATATATTATTACAATTTAATTTTTGTATTTCTTCACTTTACATACATGACATTAATTAAAAAGGAAGCATGACAAAAATAATTAAGTCACTTGAAGATGTATTGATATAAATGTACTTGAAACCACCTTGTTCACAACAAGCACTCATCATCATCATAAACGAGGTAAAAAAAAACTTAAGGTTCAAATGCAAGTCTGGGTTAAGATGGCACACGATCGCGAAAGTTGAGCAACATAATACTAGTAATATCAATCAAAGATCATGATTGGATGAAATCTGATGATATCTGGCGAAGAGAAATTTGATTTAGAAGCTAGTAAGAAATGTAATAGACAGTCCAAGTTCAATCGACATTAGACGACCCTTTATGTGTAAAAGCAGGAAGTCAAAGTCAAGAAAGTGTAGAGCTACTTATTAAAACGAGTCTTCTATATGAAGTAACTAAATGTAAACATTAGAGTTAGATATTTTAAAACAACAACATAGGGGTAGGTAAAGACTACGGACCTCCATTTAGCGCTGTCATGACAACTCTCTCGCTAGTACATATATTCACACATACGCATGCAGATCGGTTTAGGGTGTTCTTAATACCGTCCTTATACAAGGAACTTGGAAGATATAAGATATCTTGACATGTGGTAATTCTTTGAAAGAATAAGGAATATAAAATGCAATTTAGACTTAGATAATGCAATGATATTGTCTTGGCCTAACGTAATCTTAGAACCTTAATAGGAATTGTAAACTTGGGAGTTTAAAACATAATAAAAACTAATAAAAAGCCATTAAAATAAAGTGTCGAAGTCTGTTTATAGTCATCCAAATGCTTCTTGGCAAATCAACGCATTGGCATTAAGTGGCCCAATTATTGAATTGTGGATACTTTTTCTCTTATAATTATTTTTAGAAATCCAAAAATTTTGTAAATTTTGTTTATTAATTTTGAATATCAAGTAATATGATTTAAGAATGATTGTGTCATTTATTAAAATGCCTATTGCATTTTTGTTTTTAAATAATCTGTCTATTTATTGCTTAAAATAAATGCTAAGTGCTTTACTCAGTATTGTTGTGGGTGTTATTAAGCAGAGGCAGTAGAGGCATTGTTAACATTTGACAAAAATATTTCTAAAAGGTTACAATGACATAAACTTTTATGATACTCTAAAGCTGTTCTATGTTTACTTAGAACGTAATTCCATAAATGAATTATGTCTAACTACGGTGTAGCTTCATAATTCTGTACATGTACATTTGTATCAGTATTAAAAACAAATTTTATTTTAAGTAAACATTTTTATTAATTTTAATCAGTCATTGCTCTTGGACGAAGTAGCGCACTTAGATAGGGACATCGATGTGGTTGTAGCAGTATATTTATCTATTTTCTTTATTATATCAGCAGTAGTTGGTTAGTTCGTCGATGGTGCACGGCTTGTCGCAGCACTCGGCGACCACCGTCTGCCGCTTGTTCCTGTGGAGAGAGCGCGCGCGTTGCGCCGACAGCCACGGCCAAGGCCACGTCCCCTGCTGCGAGAATTCCCCCGATCTCTTCACCAGCATCGTCTGCGGCACCCCCTCGCATAGCAACGCCAGTGCCGATGCCAGCCGCCGTCCGCAGTACATCTGACCGAAGTCGTCTTGACTACGCACAACATACACCGTGCATAAGACAGACAAAACAACCAACAGTAGTGCACTCTTCATTATGTTTGAGTTGGGTAGATGTGTACGGTGTTAGATGCCGCTGGGAAATGTGCTGATTATGACAAAGAGTCCCGTTTTATAGGTATTTTGTACATTACGTATTCACATTTCATATTCAGTTCATTCATACGAACCTAATGACAGGTGACTTTTATGATAGAGCGTAGGAAGAGAGTTTTATGTGTGACCTAAAAATACGTTAAATTAAAGGAAAATAGAACAGATTTCATTCTTTCCATTTCCCATATCACATGATTGATTTTTTTTTTTTCAACAAAACAAGCATTCATATTTGCAGACAAATTTTAAATATGGACTGAACTTGTAGGGAATTCACAACAAATGGTTCAGTTATTACATAGAGTTACGTAGGTAAACTACCAATGTTGAAATGGAAGTGAAGAACTTATGATGAAAAATCATGTATCTTTTAAATCGGAATAGATCCCAAGACAAGAACGGATACTTTAACCTCTGAGCATAATGTTTTCATTGTCCCAATATGTAGAGTATCTTCCTACGCAGAATTATCAAAATCAGATTCAATTAGTTCACACAACACTGGCTACGAATACTAATTATTATGAACGTATATAAAAGGGGGACATTTTCCATTTTTATCACATTCCACTATCACACCTATCTACAACAATATCTAATCCTCACCAGTATGAAGGTTCAAGTTATGATGATCGTTATATCTTTATTCGGATTATTAAGCGTTTTGGGGTACTCCCAAGAAATTATCGGCCGAGAAAGGTACTGCGGTAGACGACTTGCATCAACACTGGCCATGTTGTGCCAAAACACGGTGGAAGAAGTTCTGGTAAAGAGGTCTGGAGTACGCGTCGACTGGCCCTGGTTAATGCCTCACCGAGGCACTAAACTCGGCAGAAGCAAGAGGCAAGTTGTGACAGAATGTTGCGACAATCGATGCAACGTTAATGAACTTTTGTACTACTGCTGATTGAAAGAATGATGACTCCTCAAAATTAACTGTCAATTGTTTATTAAATTGTTTAAATTTTAAACCTTACCCAAATATTTTCTTTTATTTGATTCAATATATTCTCTTAACCATGTATCTTGTCTTTCCAAAAATAATACATCACTAAACTGTTTAAAAATCTATGTTAGTGGCAAATTTAGTATAAAAATATCTTTGGTTTTCTAAGGCGGGCGTCCCGCAGCGAAACAAACTTTTTTTTATCAATTCTACTTGCATTATTTAAACATGGGCGTCGTAATAAGGTATGGTAAGTAACGAGCGACCGCCTGCTGCGCCGCCACGTTCCTTCTAAGGTATTAAGTAATTACTAAAAACGAATTCATTTCGCGACTTGATTAAAAGGTTGCAGACTTTATAGGCTGTAAGGCGATTACATTAGTGGATAACTAGGTTATACAGCCTGCGGGAAGTACTCGCTACGGGTTAACGACTAATTAAATAATTGGTCGATGTTAATCAAGCGTCATGCGCGGATTAAGTTGAGTATGATGTGTGGTAAGAAGGACTATCGCCCACCGCATGCGGGCTCTCACTACTAACGAATGCATACGTGAAGAGTAAATATCTCGCACCGCGCATGCTGTTCTGTATAACGACCAAGTTATCTATACTGTATACTAATATTATAAAAAAGAAAGATTTTTATTTTTTTATGTGTTGAAATAACGCAAAAACTACTGGACCGATTTAAAAAATTCTTTCGCCGTTAAAAACGGTTAGAAAGGACCATTTATCGCCGAGTGATGTATATATGGTTACTTTTTTATTTCACGGGGACAAAGTCGCGAGCTACAGTTAGTAGACTAATAATAGGTGTAGATTTGCAATACCAATACCTAAGTAATCGTAGTATTACATTAAAAGTAAACAATTTGACTAACCCCCTAAAAATGTTTTTTTTTTATTATTATACATTATTATAGACAAATCTTTGTGAGAAGTCAAAACTTTTCTTATGTAAAATACGTTACATTTCATTAAAATTTGTGGAGACAAAAACATTGATTTTTATGTATAGAGATAGAAAATAAGCGTCCCTTTAGTAATACTTAAACATGACACGATCCCATTTTCTTTTGTCATGAATGTAAAGCAGTCCCGAGATTGTCGTTTGAATGCATTGAGCGAGCAATTTCCTTTCATCTTTATTTTATTGAATACCTTGTTAAATGTTTTAAAGGAGACACTTTTATATTCGTAAAACACTGATACGGGATCCTTTGACGCTTTACTAAATATGTTTTTGGGCTTTCTGTTGTTATATGTGTAAGATTTGTAATTTTTATGCAATACACTCAAAAACTACTACACTGATTTGAAAAAAATATTGGCTGTTAGAAAGCCAATATGTTGCCGATTGGGCGAAGCCGACAGTGGCTTCAATAGAAATATTACGAACAGAACCTAATGTGATTTGATACAATGATGCATTTGAGTACGGTATTGCCAGATGGGTCATTTCACCTGTTGAGGCGCGCGCACATCGACCCGCACGATGTGGGTCGTCCGCTGCGACACACTGCCACACTGCGATACACGGGAGCTACGATACTACGCTACGAACTTTACTACGAACTCTAAGTAACAACGCTAACTCTACGCAACTTTATTCAAGTGGAGACCGCTTAACTGTCTTGTGTTTTCATCTACATAAATATTAAAGATATTTTATTTATGTTTTAATGTTTGTCTACTAGTAAACAATAAAGCAGATTATGTGGAGATTTTATTGAATTTTAAAAAGATGAAGTATAAATTTTAAGTGTCGTAGCATATTTATAAAAATAACTATTGTCATTACAGTTTTGTACTAAGAATCAAATGCAGAGGGAGATAGCAATATGTTAACAATAGAAGCTTACCGGTTGTATTGTTTGCTCTTGTTATTGTTTTTAAATTTGTTTTACAAAGACGAGTAGGGAACAAAGTTTATCTTCTCTACTTTTTAACAAAAACAACACAATGTCGCTACGTAAGCGACAACTAAAGTTTATTTCCGCTTTGTTATTCAAATTAGAATGAAATTAGTAAATTGATTTCCTTGAAATAAAAAATGTTTCGTAGCACATTCGTAGCGTCGTAGCGGCTTGAGGGATTATTTTGATTGAGTGTAGGATTGTAATCAAGGGGGAAGTAATTAATATAAATATGAACGTACCCTCTTGTCTTTTATTATATTCTACACTCAGGAAAGTAAAATCAAACTATAACAGTATGACTTACAACAAAAGTTATGTTATTATTCGTTTTATCAGAAAACAAACAAAGTAAATCGGAGATAATATCCTATTTTGCGTGCGTCATGTTACGTTAATGGGTTGGGTCGGCGGCTCCGACTTTCCCTTAACTTAGAATAATCATAGATATGTACGGATGCGGAAAGGGTTTCCGATAAAAGTTCTCAGGCCGTGTGACAGTTTTTACGACTTTTACATAAAGAGAAAACAAAGCTTTTCATGTTATTTAATGTAAAAATCAGAAATGTTGAACATGTAATAAATTATTCTTTAGTATTGTTTGCTTATATTTTATTATTATTATAATACTGATTTTATTCTTTTATAAAAGTGTCTCTAACCTAGTAGTAAAACGTATGGAATTCAATACATAAACCCATCAGTCAAATACCACTTTCGACTATTTTGAAGCGCATGTTAAGTTGAAATAATAACAAATTATAGTAAATCCAATTCATATTTCTATAACAATAAGATACCTTGCTATGTAAATAAAACAAGAAAAGCACTGGATCGTATCTCTTATACATTTCACGACACATTTACTCCAGTCATTTTATTTTCCCGTCATATGCCGTAACGCGGCAGACTGTCGTTTAGACGATTTCGAGTTCATTTATTTCTCACAAACGCCGCCGCGTGTGGATAAAGACGGGGATAAAAACCTTTTTACTTGAAAGCTGTCTCTAGTATATCTAAATTGACTACAATATACCCTTTAGTGAAACTCGTATGTGGTTATGTACATTTACTTTATGAACGCGGTTATTGATAAGAATAGGTTTGATCAAACGAATGTGGACTATTTAGTTAATCGTATTTTATATAAATAAAAAAGTAAGCGGGCAATTGTAGAGTAAAAAGATTCGTGAGGTATGAAAAGTAAATAACGACAATACAACTTTCATAGATGTCAAAAATAAATATTTCACAATATCTAAAACAAACTAAAGCGGCCTACACTGCAACTAGGGCTGCCACTTTCAGGCTTGAAATATTTGACATGGATGTCTTCGGGTCAAAGTCAATGTGAAGTGTCTGTTCTTTTGGCTAAGGATCAAGGGCGGTCGTCATTTGTTTTTCTTCACCACAATTGGTTACTGATTGTCCTTTTTTACGCTGACAAACTTCGTTTGTTTAATGTTGACAGCCCTGCAATGCAGTCGAATGCTAACTGTAGACAAACAATCGGCCAGAGGCTGTGTTTTTTTAACGCTCACCTCGCTGCCAAATGTAGGTCAGAGTATGAGCTAGATACGCATGGATTCTCTCGAAATGCGCGGACTGTACTAATATTTTACTTGCGCTATGACATCTGATGAATTAGTAATTTTGACGACTTTGTTCTGCTAATAAAATTTATAAAGAAATGTATTGCTATCTCATAATAATAAAGTTTTTGTATATTCGAAGTTTTACCTTCCTATGCGGTAACCTATAGGGAGTCCCCTCATGCATATCGTATCCCAAGTAAATTGCTTCTGTATTCATCTCGTTTGCATTAGACCCGCCGCGTGTGCTATGTAATGACTTGATATAAATCTCAAGTCTAATAAGGTAAAAGGGAATAAAATATCTATCATAGAGACATTCTTTATGCCTCATGTTAATGCATTACGTCCTAGTTTCAGATGATATGTTATAATTTGTAATTTACCCCAGATTCTTTGGAAATTTACTTTTTTCTACCATTAGTTTGTATTATGTAAATGTTAGTGATTTTAATGCTTGGTTTAACTCATGTTCTTGTTTACAGGTACGTGTATTAGTGTACTCAGTAGTCTGAGATCTTCACGGGTTAAGGTATCGATTATATGTTTATGAAAAGTATCTTGTCTTGTTTTTATATATGTCTAGTTAACGGAAAACAATTGCCATTTTTAGATGTGCTTTAAAAATCCGATATAACAATATTCTTTTAATACCACCATAAATTTGCACTTTGAATCGGCTGATAGCTGATAGTATGGACATGTATGACGTAGATTACACTGATTTTATTTTATATGATGTTAGTATGGACAGATCCGAAGAAACTATCAGCCGATAAAGTCTGTAGTCTTCGTGGTCTTTTACTGTAACAATATCTATGTTTGACGTAACAGTAATTAACAATTCGAAAGTGATTTAAAGCAGTTTATTACTGGGGAGATTTATTTAAGATTAATATCTTAATATTAAAATGACGCAGAACGTTAGTTATGAGTATGGAAGGGTACATCGGTAGAGGTAGACCTAGAATGAGATGGATGGATTGCGTAAAAGGTGACATGATCAAAAAGGGAGTGATGACTGAGATGACGTATGATAGAGTTATGTGGAGGACAAAAATCTGCTACGCCGACCCTACCGGAGTAGGATAAGGAGAAAGATGATTATGATTAATATGACGCGGAGTAATGAGGTTCGGTTACATTACGCTAGTTTAACATGTTACATATAGTTAGAGGTACATAGATATAATATCACGGCCGAATACTAAAACGACATTTACATGTGTAACTGCGTATTCAAAGGTCACGTTTAACGGCTAAATTACATTCAATATT